ATGTTCTTCTGGTATGAGTCCATACTGAACTATTTACAATATAATAGTTCTTTTGTCTGACCATCTTGATTTGTTTTTATCTCCCATCTTGAACTTTAAAGATGGGTAGATTAACTCTAGTTAGTCTGATGGTTTTTCTTTTTACTTACCTTCTTTTAGACTTGAATTCAGTATTTATGATTCCATTTTATCTCCATGTTTATTTTAATAGTTACCCTTTTCAAACTTTTTAGGGATTGCTTAACTATTCAGGCTGCTATAACAAAAAAACATAGAGTGAGAGGCTTACAAACTGTAAACATTTCTTGCTTACAGTCCTAGAGGGTGGAAAGTCCAAGATCAAGGACTGGTAGATTTGTTGACTGAAAGCTAATGTTCTGGTTATAGTGAAGTAAGGCCCACTCTTTGGTTCATACATGGCTGTCTTGTTATAGTCTCACGTGGTAGAAGGATCAGATGAGCTCCTAGGGCTTCTTTTATAAGTGCAAATCCCTTTCATGAGGACATGACCCAGTCGCTTTCTGAAGGCCCTACTTCCAAATATTACCACTTTGAGAATTTGGTTTTAACTTAAGAATTTTGAGGGGTACAAAAACAGTCCTTTGGAACATCTTTGACGCCCTCCACCTTCAAATAGTGTAAACCATTTCTTGTACAGTGTAAGAACTGTGTATAAACTATTCTTCCAATTCCTTTGACCCATCTTTTGTGGGGTACATTTTACTTTTATGTACATTGTAATCCTATAATTTATAATATTTGCGTCTTCCCTCTCCCACTTCCCTCCTTTTCCTTTTTCCTCTCCCCCTCCTCTTCTCTCACTCTGTAGGGGGGGATTGAAATCAGGATTCTTGCACTGACCTATATCCCCTTTCAGACAAGGTCTCTCTTAAGTTGCCCAGGCTGAGCTCAAACTTGTGATCCCTCCCATCTCAGCCTCCCAGTGCTGGGATTACAGATGTTCACTACCATGCCTGGCTATATTTGCTTCAGATAGTTATTTCTTAAAGCTATCACCAGCATTTTATTCTGTTCTATTCTATTCCATTCCATTCCATTCCATTCCATTCCATTCCATTCCATTCTATTCTATTTTTTGGTACTGGGGATTGAACTCAGGACCTCGCAGTTGGGAGGCAGGCACGGTACCCACCAGCATTATTTTAAATATTTTTAAAATGTACATTCATTTCTACCATTTCTGACACTCTATTTTTAAGTTTCCATTTGGTTTCCTATTTATACCCGAAGAACTTCCTTATAAAATTATCAGCTAGCTGGTACTGCAGGAAATTAATTATTTCAGCTTTGTGTGCATGTGTGTATGTGTAAGTCCTTAATTTGCTTTCATTTTTTGAGAGATATTTTCACTCTATGTAATTCATACTTTTTCTTCGTTGGAGTATTTTAAGATAATTGCTCCATTGTTTTCTGGCTTGCCCAGTTTTGGAGAAGTCCACTGTAATTTTTATCTTTATTCCTGTACATATGATCTTTTTTTTTTCTAGCTGCCTTTGAGATGTTTTCTTCATCTTGTTTTTTAGTATTTTGTCTATAATGAATATGAGTTCAGTTTTTTTGGGGGGGGGGGAACAAGTGGTGCTGTGGATCATACTCCAGGTCTCACATGTGGTAGGCAGACACTGTTTCACTGAACAATACATCTAGCCTTTGGGTTTTATTTTTAACTTATTTTGCTTGGTGCTTGGTGTTCTTTGAAAATCTTGCATATGTGGATTGATGTTTTATATTATTTTTGAAAAATTATTGGCTGTTATTTCTTTGGATTTTCATTCTGTCTCACTCTCTTTGCTTTCTCTTCAAATATAAATTACATGTATTGTCCCATACTTCCTGGATGATTTTTTTTTATTTTTAATTTTTTAAAAGTTTTCATATGCACATGCATGCAGCATGTGCTGATCTGTTTGGAAATCTGTTGATCTGTTTTCAAGTTCTTCAAGCCTTTCTAAGGAATTCCTTTTTTTCTTTTTTTTTTTATTCCTTATTGTTTTTGGGGTTGGAGGCAGTGTTAAGAATTGAATCCAGGACTTTGAATGTGTTAGCAGGCACTGGTCTACTGAGCTGCACCCCTAGCTGGGAATTGCTAATCTTTGCTTGCATTGTATTTATTTCTGTTATTTATGTTTGTTTATTTCGTACAGTTTTCACATTTCTGCCGAAATTCCCTTTCTGTTTATGCAAGTTACCCATTTTTTTTTCTGCTAGATCCCTTAACATGTTAATTGTATTAAAGTTTTTGTGTGATGGTTCTATAATACCTAAGCTGTCTCTCGCTTGGGTTTGTTGATTATCTCCGGATAGTGGAATTTCCTTGCTTTTCTGTGTCTCACACTTTTTTTTATTTTCCAGTATTAGGGAACAAAACGCTTTGTGGGTGCTAGGCAAGCATTCTACCACTGAGCTACATCCCCATCTATATCTTAACTTTTTGACCAAGTAGCAGATAACGTGTAGAAAAATGATAAAGATTGAAGTAAATAGCGTTTGTACTTGTAAAAGGACATGCATCTTTTTTTTCAGCCCATTCATGTGAGGAGTTGAGTCAGTCTGTCACTACTTGAGCTAAATTTGGTGGTGTCTTTGTCTTTAGTATACTACAGACTTTGCATTCCTCTAATAGTAGGTTCCTGTTACTTTGTACTTGGCATGAAGCTTGGATGCTGTAGAATTTTTCCATTTTTCCATCTCTAGATTTAATTGTGTATTCCCACCTTGTTACAGATGGGAGTGTCTCTCAATGTTTTTGTCCCACTGTCAGCAGTCTGCTGTTGTTACCCAGAGCTAGGTTTTTGATAGGAGCAAGGGTTTACTCTGTTCTGTTGGTACAGCCTCAATCTTATATAGGCCCCTGAACTTGAGGATCCGTTTTTTGGGTTTTTTCTCAGTGTTTCTTTCCCTCAGGCCAAACTAGTTTTATGTCTGTAGTTGCTGTTAGGTGGGAGTTTCCTGTCCAGTGCCAGTTGGTAGCAGACTTCTGAATGGTGTAAGTATAGGACCCTGGGCTGAACGTTGTTTTATATACCTCTGTCAAGGATAAAAAGATTTTTGGTTTTGCCTTTTCTCTCACACCAGTAGCTCTAAGTGTGTCCTGGGAAAGGGTTTCCTAACCTTCCCTAGAGGCAGAAGTGTTTTGTTTCCATTTTTATCCCAGAGGTAATGAATTTTTGCCAATCTTATGGTTGAGAGATTTCGTTACCTCGTCCAGAAATGTATGTAATTTTGTTTTGTTTTGTTTTTTCTTTGTAAAAAATTTGGAAGATTGGTAGGCTTTGTAGCTTTGTCACCCCCAGTCTCCTGCTGACAATCACCTTTTCCCACTCTATCACTTAGGGAGACTTTTCTTTGGTCTCCTTCTTACCCCAGTCTTTCTAATGGCCACATGGTGAAGGCTTAATGGAGAAGAGTTGAGTAGAGCTTCCCTTGTTTCTGGAGCCCTTGCTAAATTGATTCATAGCCCATGCTTGGCCTTTAAAATTTTAGCTAATTTCTTGCTACTCACTTAATGGTGGCCAGTTCTTTTTTCTATGCTCTGCCAAAGGTAAGATAGCTTGAGTGTCCAGTTTCTCCTTGAATAGCCTTTTCCCTCTTGGGAATGTAGTTTGCTTGACTGTCCTGCAACCGGAGCTCTCTGGTGTGCTCAAAAATAGGTACTCTTTTTTTTTTTTAAAGCTTACTCGGTGTTTTCGTATTGTTTGAAGAAGGTGCATTAACTTTTGTAGCTGCTTGCATCCCAAGCAGAGGTAGAATTCCTATTTAAAAGTTTTAAATTTCTACTTTGGAAATAAGATAGGCTTGCATTTATATTGTGTATATCTTTTCAAAGCTTTTACATTTTGGTATTGCCTTTGTGAGAGGAAAGTTTTACTACAGGTATTCCTAGACTTCTCAATTTTATATTAAAAAATAAAATGACCCCAAAAGGCACCATTGTAAGCAATGACAAAATCCACTTGGCTCCCCTCTCCACCAAATTCCTGGCCCTTTTGGAACAAACAGAAGTATTTGGGAATAAACTTTGGTACATTTAATTGAGAAGATAAGGACTTTGAATAATTTTTGTAAGAATTGGAATTCCACTTTTTCATGAAGAAATTTTCTGTTTCATAGGCTCTTCAGGTTTCCAAAGACATTTTCCTTCTCTGCTATAATTAGGATACTAGATAGTCTTCCTGGTCCTCTGTTGGCAGTCTTACTTGCCTCCTCCACCTGTCTCTCTCTGTCTCCCCCCAACTCCTGTGTATTTTCTTACAAATATAATGGGAACCTAACTGACCTTTTCTTTTATATGTGGTGCTGGAGGTCAGCCCAGGGTCTTGTGCATGCTAGGTGGATGCTCGTCCTTTGAGCTATACCACAGCTCTTAACATTTAAAAAAACACTGAATAAAAGGCGGTAATACTTGTGCCTTGTAGACCATTTGGACCTAGCAGGAAAGTTTAAAAAAAAAAAAAAAAAAGACAGTAGTTATCACCTAAAATCCCACACAGTATAAATTCTAACGTTTTGCATTCTGGTTTATTTCCAAGAATAAATTAATTTAAAACTACAGTTAAAGCCATGGTATGTATATAATTTTGTATTTAGTACGTAATATTTAATGGCATTATAGGTGTCTTTCTGCCTTACTAAATGATTTTAAACATTTAAAATGCTGCATACATGGGCTGGGGATTTAGCTCAGTGATTCCACCGCCTGCCTCGCAAGTACAAGGTCCCAAGTTGGATCTTGGTACCAAAAAAAAAACAAACACTGTATACATTACGTTATTATGGAATCCACTAGAAATTATCCACTTACCTTTGCAGCATTTGTAATTTGAAGTCAGAAAAGTTTAAATTTGAAGCTTATTTTAAAAAAGCTTTTTCCATTTGTAATTATATTATAATATGTAGAAATATGTAAGTTTCTGGTTCTGTTTTTAAAGATGGGTTATTTGGATTCCATTGACCCAATGGCTTTTCTCCTTTAATTTCAGAATTCCATACGACATAATCTGTCACTCAACAAATGTTTCCTTAAAGTGCCTCGATCCAAGGATGACCCTGGAAAGGTAGGATTCGTTTTCTTAAATTGGATTTTTCTATATGTCTCTTCTCATTTTTGAATCAAAAACTTGTCTAGTTCGTTGATCAGGAACTTTTGTGAAATAGCAATTCCTCCCCTACCTTATTCTAATTCTCTTTTAGTTGGTATGCTTCAAAGGCTAACCAGTTAAGAAGAGCTTTCTTTTTAAACAATAAGAATCTAGCTAGAGCTAGTCATTTGTTGTTTGCTCTTTTTAATCCAGTCTTTGATTGCTTTCTTGAGTGTTGTGCATTAAATAAAGTGCTTGGATTGCTTCTCAGGAAACACAATCTATTAATTATTACCTATAATGGATGAATCTGCCTGTAATTTACAAAAGGAGAAGCATTCTAACTTTGAAATAAAATTGTTTCTCGGTTAATACTGTTTTCTTAGTTGCTGTGTTTTCTTCTTGACTCCATTCATCTCCTGCCACCATCAGTTTTAGCATCTTACCTGCAGAGACATTTTTGTTTCAATAGCCATGTCAACTATAATGTAGCCTTAAGTTGGTATAGTGGCTTGGTTTCTAAAGCTCAAGAGTATTTGGTTGGACCATGTTTGGCCATCAAGATAATTTACTAGATTAGGTTTTCAAGATAGATTACCTGTTGGCAAGATAACCTTCTTGTAGGGGTGATTAGGCTTTTTCCTTAGGCTAATTGTTCCTGGAACAATATATCTAAAATGTAAGCCTGATCACATAAGCGCCCCGCTTAAAAGTACCTCTTCATTGTCCTAGAGATGTTTACTTTGTTATAAAATGTCATCTTTCATTTTCCTAATGTTACCATTTCAGCTGCAATTTACTCTATTCAAGCCTGGCCGTGAGGAACATCTTGAAGTTTCTCAAACTTTCCTATAATCTTATTGCATCTTTTTTTGTGTTTGGCCTAGATCTTTTCTTTCAAGATTGAGCTATAACATTGTTCTCTGAAGCTTTTTTGTTTCTCCATACCTCAGTTGAGTTTGTTGTTCCCTTTTTTGTGTCTCTGATACTTTGTAGCCATAATTATCATCTTTAGAGTAGTTCCTAACTGGTCTCTTTGTTTTTGGACTTGTTCCTCCAGTTTATAGTTAATTTTACATAGTAGTTGTCAATCTTTTAAGAATGTTAACTATGGCAGTCATATAGTTTGTCTGTCTGTGCTCCCCAGCTCTTCATTCTTCCATTGCTCTTGGGTGAAAGTCTAAATGTGAGGTTGTAGGGATCACATGTACTTATTCACTATTTAGCCCCAGTTGCTTGCATGGTGGCTGGTAGCACTGAGACATCCTTGTTGTATGAATATATTGTGTCCTCCATCAGACTGTTAACTTCTTGAGATTATAAATGGAAAGTTACTTATTTCTATTATTAAAGCAGACACTCTTGTGTAATGTTTTATTGCACTTTCTGTGATCTGCCCAATCAAGTGGTTATCAGTAAGACACTGAGTACATTTTTACAAATCTTATATTTTTTGACTATATTTATAACTCACTAAGATGTGATAGCAATTGGTGGCAAAATTTTTTCCCTTTAATGCAGGCTTGTTATTAAAGAGAATTAGATTTTCGAGATATCTTTAACTATAATTTTTCATAGTATTTATGAATCAGATAGAAAAATAATTTGTTTAGAAATGTATAAAGGCCAAGTGCAAGGTCCTGAGTTCAATCCTCGGTACTGCAAAAAAAAAAAAAAAATCTATAAAATCAAATTCCAATTTGATTTTTAAATAAGTTAAAAAATAATAGCAATGAAAAGTTAATAAACATGAATATTTAACTGTATTGTTTACTAAATTTGACCCAGTTGGAGACCCATTTTAAAAACTTGTGCTGTCATGCTAATGTTCTCTAGTGGGAAGTTAAAGCTTTTCTCTTTAATGAAATAGTATCATGAAGTAATGCAGCTGTGGAAAACATGTTACTCTTTACAATTATTCCTTTGGAATCACGCCTATGCAACTGATTCTTATGGAATCAGTAATGTGCAACTAAAACAAAATACAGAAATGAATTGAATCCTGAGAGGCTAGTAAAAGCTTCAGCTTTTCCCGTTAGTGTCTAATTTTAAAGTTTTGCGTATATCAAAACATTTTATTTATTTTGGTCACAAGTGAATATCACTTGATCTTATGAAATACACTTATAATAATGGAGTCACTTTTATTTTTGGTTGTAAAATGAAGTTTAAATAAGCCACTGTTCTCATTGAAGTTTGGTTAGAAGCAGATGTTGTGAATTTGATCTTACAAAATACATTTTTCTGAGTAAAGTCATTTTTATTTTTGATATCATAGTGAGATTTTGTTCAAAAAGAAAGCAAAATTCTGTTACTTTTAATATGCTTTGAAAGCCTCAATTCTAGCCCATTTTATAAGAGTAAAGAAATAAGGCCAGAAGATAAGAAGTGACTTACACAGATTCATTGTGGAATTATAACTCAAGTATTGTTTTCAGTTCCGGGGATTGAACCCAGGGCCTTCGCTTTGAGCTACATCCTCAGCACCCTCCCCCCCTTTCCCCCCGAGATAGTCTAACTATGTAGTTCAGGCTGGCCTTGAACTCACTGTGTAGCCTGGGTTGGCCTTGAATGCCTGCCAATCCTCCTGCCTCAGCCTCTGGAGTTCTGGGATTACAGGCATTTGCTACCATGCCTGGCAGAACTCAAGTATAATAGCCAGGCTTACTTGGCAGTTACAGGAACTCATATAGATTAAAGTGTGGGGTACTTCAGGGGCAACTGGAGTTAGGTTCTTAAATTGTACCATCACAAATGTCTCTTTCCATTCCTTAGTTCTGCTAGCTTTCCTGATGGCTTTCTTTTTAGCCTAGTGACAGAGATAGCTGTTAGCAGCTTCTGGTTTGTGTTCTCAGTTCAGTAACAACAGAAAAGAGTGTGTCTTTTGGTTCTCTCTCAGTACCCCCTAGATCATTTGGAATTATGGCTGAAGTCTTAGAATGAATGCTGAGTAAGTGAAAAATCTTGGTTTCTTGGTTTGTAGACTAATGCTTTTTCCAATAGACCAGTCTTCCTTGAGAGAGAGACCAAAATGTTAGTTAAGTTTTGGTACTTATGAATTGTTTTTTTCTTTTTGTATTACAGTGTTTCCTGGCATTTGAGGAGCTTTTCCAAAACCACCCTCACCACAGTGGGAGAAAACCATTGAGCCAAGGTGGGGTGGGAGTAGATTTTTGGGTATGGTTCTTGGGTCTGGGGTGGATTTAACCCCTTAGGGTTTTGCTAGCTGTGACCTTGACCCCAATAGGTCCAAGAAGTAGAAGTAACTCAGTAGCATCATCTTCCCTGTATTTTCATGGTATAGATTCTTGTTCCTTGTATTAATAGAGAGGCACAAAGACCAGCATAAACTTGAAATATATTGTTGAATTATGGAGGTTTTTATATGACTGCTTTTTTTCCTGCTCAATTCTTCATTTAAGAAGCCTGTGTCATAAAAGCCCTTCAGATTTGGTACCCTCTCATGTACATTGATGGTCTGAAATCCATTCACCTCTATTTCTTGAAATTCACTTCAAATAGCTACATTGTTGTTTTCTTTAGAAAGAAATACAGCAAGGCATGGTGGCACAAGCCTGTAATCCCAGCACTTGGGAGGTTGAGGCAGAGGAGGATTGCTGTGAGTTGGAGGCCTGTTCAATGCGATCTACATAGAGAGTTCAAGGCTAGCTTGGACTACATAGTGAGACCCTGTGTCAAGAAACCAAAAAATAAAATAAATACATACATGCATACAAAAAGCAAAAACAAACACAAAATGAAATTATATTTTTCATCCATGACTGCTGTTTTTGCTGGCAGACAGATTTCTTTTTCCCTGAGGAAAAAAGGTTATAACCCTTTATCCCTGTCTGCCCTCCAGTCTGTCTCCATTTTTTAAATCCAGTCTTTTGTATCCTCTCTTCTCATTATTTCTATTTTGTTTTTGCTGACATTTTGATCTAAAATTTTTTTCTTTATTTTGCGATACATAATGCTTCTCATTTATCTTAAAGGTAAATATTTTGCTCACATTGTGGAAAAAAAATCATCAGCTAAACTTAAAAGGTAGTTCTCTTTTCTGTACTTTTCCTTAATTTTTTCTTAACTCTATTCCCCTTTCCCCAGTTCACAAAAATGATATACTTTGACTTGCAAGGAAGGAACTAAAGGGTCAGAGAGTAATTTCAACAATTGTGTAAATAATTAACAACATAAAACTTCTAGTAGAACTGAAAAGATAGCGAAGAAGTTCAAGGCCACATGCATATCCTGGGGAGAAAACTACAGTTAATTCATAGTAAGAAAGAGGTTTTTGTTTTGGTGGTGTTGGGGGAAAGCTCTTTATTAACTGGACATGAGAGATTGTAAAAGTTCAGTGGCTGTAAAGATTAGAGTCTCTTGGTTTGTGAGGAAACAGACATTGCTAGAGAAATAACTTTTGTAATTTCCTATATAGCGACCTTTTCTATTTCTCTTCTCTGATCCATAAAGGACAGAAGCAGTTGACTCATCACTTCCTTCTCAAAGGAGTTTATTTTTTTGGCCATATTAATTTTGTGCAGTATTTACTCACAAATTACTAGTTATTCATTAGTATCTCATTTAGATCACTTTAATGTAGGAAAACTGGAGAGATTTGAGAGGACATAAAACATAACATTAAGTGAAGTGTTGTAGGAAACAGGTATTTATCCCAAAGAGGGGAGATACAAGTGTGATTTAATATGTACTAGTTTTAAAACAGATGCATGATTTCTGTTAGGAAAAGATTGACTATTTAGCTGTATGTGTACAACAAAACAGGAAATACTACTTAAGGATAAGCAGTAATTTGGTTGGACAAAAATAAGCATATCATATTTATTAGAGTGGAAAAACCCTGACATGGGGTCTATTTTGCCAGTTAAGAAGCATTTAAATAGATGAAATTGCTAGCCTGGTAGCAATTCATGGTAGGTAAGAAACCCAGTTTGAAGGCTGGGAAGAGGATGTGA